TATTGGACTGGGTATCTCAGGAACACTCACTCCTGGCTCAGCTGGTGTAGGAGTGGCAATAGACACTTACAACAAATTATCTCAGCAGTTAATTGATGATGTTAATATGGTCTATCGGTCTGTACAAGATCTTCAGGACCAGGTAGACTCACTGGCCGAGGTTGTCTTACAAAATAGACGGGGACTTGATTTACTAACAGCAGACAAGGGAGGTATCTGTTTAGCTTTACAGGAAAGATGCTGTTTTTATACCAACAAGTCCGGGATCGTCAGGGATTGGATCAGAAAGCACCAAGAAGAGCTAGAAAAAAGACGCCAAGAGCTCTTTGCAAACCCCATGTGGAGCATGTGGAATGGAATCCTGCCCTATCTTCTACCTCTCCTTGGGCCCCTGGTGGGGTTCTTGCTCATAATTTCCTTTGGGCCATGGGTGTTCCGAAAGATTACTGACTTTATTAAAAAACAAATTGATTTGGCTACTAAGGCCTCTATCCACTACCATCGGCTACAGCTTGAAGATCCAGAGGATAGTGAGTATGACACATCCCTTGGATCCCCCTCAGCACCCTTAGACTTTTCCACCCTTGCTAACCCACCCAATACTTGGTGGAACTTTAGTCGCTAATGAAAAGATCAATGACGGGAATATTGTGGTGCCAGAGATCGGAGGCAGATTCTCAGCTGTAAGGTACTCAATGACGGGTATAGCACAAACCCATGATTCAGGGGCGTACCCCAAACTTGCGGGTACTGAACATGGAAGCAGTTTGTGTAGCCTAAGACAGGGGCCTTACCAAAAGAAACAAGAATCCCGACTCGGGGGACCCACCACATAGCCTAAGGCAGATCTTTCATTCGTTAAAGTTATTAATAAAGGGTGAGATGTCGGGAGCTGGAGAAACAACATTCATTACCAAAAAATATAATATGGCTCTACAAACAGTTGACTTAAGCAGGACATTCTGCCTGCACTAGTAACCTTGAGAAAGAATTTATGGCAAGGTTATCTTTCTCTTCCCCTTGCAAACAGTTCTCGGAAAAGATAAGTCATGCAGTAATCTCTTGGAACACCTGGTGGTCAGTCATGTTGCTGAATTGCTCAGTCCCTCTCCCATATCCATAAGAATGCTGTAACCTTTGACCAACTTCTTCAACCCCTTCTAAATACAAACTGTATATAAGGAAAGCTTGCAATACAATAAAGCGACCCTTGACAAGTGGACTTGCTTGGGCTCCGTCTCCTCTTTCTCGCCCGTTTTTCCTTTCAGGGAGTGGTCCCCCTCGAGCTTTACCTGTACAGGGTCCCCGCAGGCGGGGGCAGACCTTGATAGCTTTCCGTTGCATTACACTGCCTATATCAGTGTCAGGACACAGACAGTGAAAAGAGAGCTGTTGAACAAGGATGGTTACAGTAATTTTCCCAGGACCCAGCAGCCTGGTCCAGTTGGGAAGCCCAGAAGAGGCCAGGCTACCTCATAGCCTCATCCTTGTCTAAGTAGCCTAGAGTCTAAGAATTAGTCTAGAGGGCAACATCTAAGCTTAAAAGCCTACAAAACCTGCAAATCTGTGCATGGTGAACTTCTGGGAGACTAGATGGACTAATAAGTCCTACTGGAAAAATTGAATTTGGATTGGTGAAGAGCACGTGAGGAAAGGTTCCAGACTGGCAGGGCAGTGTGACTCATGGAATCTTGGAACCTTAGGGTGGAATGTAGATGGGATCAGCAAGGTCTGTTCTAAGGAGTGTAAGGAGATCTCACACCCTGGGCTGGGCAGGGACTAGAAGGGGCAGAGTTAAACCAGCAAGCTGGTGCCAGTTCCCCTAGGGTTTCAAGGGACCTCTGCCTGAGGAGTCAGCATTTGACTTTGAAAGCAACGGGGGACTCCCAGGAGCTCCAGGGTAAGGATATGCAATGAAGTAGACAAGTAATTAGTTTATCAATAGTGTGGATTGACTGATAACAAGGATACTGGGATGTTGGGAGACCCATGTGAAGGCTTCAGGCAGTCCTGAGTATACCTGTAAAGACAGGAGACTGATGAAGTGGAGGGAACTGGCAGGCCTTGGAGACCCTCTGGGTTGAATGATGGAGTTAAAAACAGCCATAAGGTGTTGGTACTGGAAGCCAGAGGGATTTGGTCACTCATTTGCTGTTAATATTCAGCTTGGGATGCCTACAGGGCCATTGTGAGATATGATGTTCTTTTCAGAAAATGTAGGTACTTCAGCCTAACATTTCTCCAATCTGGCTTCCATCTCTCAATAATACCTCTAGAGAAGAGATATTAAGTAGACCACAGGGATTTTTTTAAAGTACTTGTTGCTGAATCCTCCTTATACTGGCAGGATTTGGGTGAAAACTATGGATTGTGGCAAGGCTGCAGTGTTTTGGAGACTGAGACCCTGGCATAGATGGATAGAATATAAACCAGAGGGCATAAGATTAGGATATCCCAAGACAGGGGTGAGGGGAGAAGTGATCTGAGTAAAGCCAGGGAACGGGATTTGTTAGTGGGCACCCAGAGGAATACCCAGGGCCAGCAAAGGTTGTTGAGGAAGTCTCTTGGTAAGTGGAATAATGACCCAGTGCAGGGAGAGACAGAGGAGGACTAATTTGCAGGAAGAAGGGGCCAAGTTCCCCAAATCCAGACAGACAGTAACCTCAAGTTGCTTCTCATTTGGTCCTTAGCCATGGTCTCATCTCTGTACCTGTAAAGTGAGCCACACAGAGTGGCAGCTATGGTTCCCTTGTGGGATCTTACTGCAGAGCTTGTAAGGGTACTCTGCAGATCCTTCCAGGTAAACTATTCTCCCAGCACCCATCTTCACAAAGTCTTCTATCCCCATAACAGGAGGGAGCCCTTTGCCCACACTTCTGCATTCCTTTCTCCTCCCTTCCCTCAGCTCCCCATTAGCCTCCTTCAACTGCCCAAGCTCTGTCTAGATTAGAACACACATCCTCAGATCCATCAGGCAGGGACAAAATGACTCAAATGTCTCACTTTAGTACAACATAATCATCTTCCCTTCCATGAGGAGATAAGAGAAGACAAAGAGCTCTTGCGGAGGGGGGCGGTAAGGAATGGAGTATATGATTACAGCAAAGAAAATGCCTGGTTCATCCAAAAACTGTTTCTGACAGTAGGTGCAGGCTGGACAAAAGGGTAGGGATATTTGTAAAGGTTACAGGAACGGTGGCTTCACGGGGAGTGCTTAGACGCCAATGCCATCTTCAAAACAGAATTTGAAAATTGGAGAACAGGCAGAGCCCTTTGGAGTTTGACTCCAGCTGATTCCAGGAGGAGGTGCCCAATGCAGGCTCTCCAGACACCATGTCCCCATCCAGGATAAGTCAGCCTGCCCTAGGAGGAGCGCGCTAGTTAAGAGGGGACCGAGGCGCCTTTTCCCTCTATCCTGAAGCCTCCCCTGTCTTACCGATGGCAGAGAGCTTTTGCAAACTCTCTGGAACCTAACAGATGCTTCAGGGAAACGAAACTAAACCTCTCTAAAGTTTCCAGCGCGGGCTCTTTTCGTTTCCCGCTATCCGCCCAGTCTGAATCTGGGCGCGGACCGAGGGCGGGGCCGAGGAGCCACCGCGGCGGAAACCGGCCCGGCGGCCTGGGAGGCGGGAGGGGACAGCTAGGGGGCTGTGTGCCGCGCCCGCCCGCGCCCTGTCGGGACTGCGGACCTTGGCGGCTGGACTTAAACTGGCACTGACTGCGGTCTCCGTGCGTACCGCAGGAGCGGAGCCCGCGCCGCTGCGCTGGGGCGGCGGGCAATGATCACCTAGGAGGCTGGCGCGAGCGGCACACGAGCCGGGCGCGGCGACACGCGGCCATGGAGCAGGAGCTCGCAGTGGCGGAGGAGCCGGCATCCCCGAGGCGGCGACGCCCGCGGCGACGGCGCTGGGAGGGCAGGACGCGCACCGTGCGCTCCAACCTGCAGCCGTCCCTGGGCGCCGAGGACCCTGCGGCCGGGGCCTCCAAGGGCGAGCGGCTGCTCACACGCGGGTGCGTCCAACACCTGGCGGACAACCGGCTGAAGACCACCAAGTACACGTTGCTTTCCTTCTTGCCCAAGAACCTCTTCGAGCAGTTCCACCGCCTGGCCAACGTGTACTTCGTCTTCATTGCGCTGCTCAACTTCGTGCCGGCGGTGAACGCCTTCCAGCCGGGCCTGGCGCTGGCGCCTGTACTGTTCATCCTGGCGGTCACTGCAATCAAGGACTTGTGGGAGGACTACAGCCGCCACCGCTCCGACCACGAGATCAACCATCTGGGCTGCCTTGTCTTCAGCAGGTGAGTCAGACCAGCCGGGCAGAAGCGCAGGGTACAGGAGGGGTCGGGCGCTTCCGGGGAACTCGGTGTTGGGCATGGAGGGAGAGTGCGTTCGCGACAGGTGTGGTCCACAGAATCTGTGGAACTTGGGAAGTCACTGTGCCTCTGAGGAGGCTCTGTGTCCTAGATGCAGGAGCACACGCGGATCCCCTGTCAGGACTGGAACTCTAACCTAGGGTCTAAGTCAGAATGATCCCAGGGTTGGGATCTGGCATCACCTGGCCAGCCTCATGCCCTCAGCTCCTGCCCCTAAACCCAGGACAAGATCGTCTGGTCTCTTTTGCTCTCCTTCGCCAGGCACCGTGGCCTTGAACACAGGAGTGTATAGCTCAGTCTTAGGTAACAGTTGTTTTAGTACAACAGGTTCTGATGTACCTGGCGCAGATCAACTTGAAGGGCAGGGCACAAACAGCAGTCCATTCACAGATGCAAATTAGGAACTGACCACAAGCTGAGTACTATTCCTTAGTTAAGGCCTTTCTCTTCTCCTTAACTTTTTTTCTAGCGTTTCTAAGACAGAGTCTCCGTGTAGCCCAGGCTATCCTTGAATTGGTGATGATCTTCCTGCCAAATGCTGCAATTACAGGCATAAGCTAGCACACCAGCCAGTTTTCTTAATAAGAACTTGTTTTCATATGAAAAGAAGCCTCGAAGGGGGTGAGGGGTTAAGATGCTGAGAGGTTAGTGGCAGGGAGTGACCTTCCAGTGAACTGTTCTTACTTCCCTGCTCTCAGAATTCCAAAGCTGGGATGTGACCCTGGGTTTCCTGATGTACCTTCTCCGTTTACCCCCATCTGGAGATCCATGTGGAGGCAGAGCCATCTTGGAGCTCTGTCCAGGCCTCCATCATCTTTCCTTCCTTCTCACCTTGTTGGACATGGCTCCCCTAACTGGATAACATTTTTTGTGTTCTGATTCCACCATGCCTGAGGGCACCCTGGGAAGTCCCTGGCCTGGTGGCAGATTGTTTCCCCAGCACATGGGGATGTTGTTGGTCCTATCTCTTAGAAGATCATGAATTCTTTTCTATACATTTGAGTAAAAAGTTTATTTTAATGAGTTCTTGCTGTGTTGCCCGGGCTGACTTGAATCTTGTGACCCTCTGAGCACTGGTGGGCCTTGATAATCTAATTCATGTAAACAGAGGTTCAGAAAGGTTCAGTAACTTGCTCAAGCTTGTGTAGCTCCTCCAGAGTGGTGCCGAGTTTGACCAGGTTATCTCAGATTCCCGTGCTTCTCCAATGTTTTCTAAGAATTACTGGAAGAACTTGTCAAAATAACAGCTTTCCTATGTGTTTGAGTAAGATCTGGGAACAGGCTCAGGAATGAGTATTGATGAGGATAGAGGTGATTCTTACATGATAGCTCATATTTGAGTAATACCACCTTGCTTGCCCTGGAGAGGTGCTCATTGGCAAGGCACCAAGCATGATGTAGATGGCAAGGGCTGTGGAATTCCCTGACTCTTCTTCACCTGAAACATTGCGAGGGAGTGAGGAACCTCTTGCACAAATACCCTCAGTGTGTCAAACCCTGGAAGCCAAACAAGTCTCTGAATCTTTGCATATATGCTACTTACTATTTCCACTGAGCCTACCATCCCAGTAGTCTCCTTTTTAGAAATGCCGAACTTTAGGAAATAGTTTATTTTCAGTTGACAAAAAGTGCTGCTCACTTGTTATTTGACAAGTGGATGAGAAAACTGAGGCAGGAATCTGACATTGCAAAGCTTCCTAGGATTGTGAAACCATACCTGCCTAACTTTCTAGTTAGTTCCTAAGCTCCAAGTACAACCTAGTACACCCCTCAGGTAGGCCTCGCAAGTTCCAAGTCCTCCCTGCCCCTAAGTCAAATTCTTGAAGACTGTCTATAGAAAGAATAGACCCACCTGGGAAGGCCACTGGATGGTCAGAGGCTATGAGAGAGATGGTTGTGTGGGGGGCAGAGGTGGGATTGCTCCTTAGGTACCCGAACTCACTCTCCGACCATGTCATTTTCTCTACTGCAGAAGCTGGCCAGAATTTTTCATTTACTTCCCAACTGTGGGAAGGGCAGTCAGCCCTATACCCCACTTCCATCGTTTTTCCTAGGAAGGCAGGTCAAATTCTTCTAGTCCTAGAATGCCTGGGATTGGTGTTGACAAGCCCTTGGAATGGAGAGTGGAGGAGGCTTGAGTTCCATCCAGGGCTGCTATAGTGGGTAGGCCACTGGGCAAGTTCCTGGCCTGGGTAGACTCTGGCCTGGGCTCCTGGTCCAGGGAAACAGGGTGGTTTTCAGGAGAGGCCTCTGAGAGATGGCAGGGAAGAGTCTGGGGTTGCCATGTAAAGACTAGAGGGAATATGACCAATGAGAGGGCAGATGTTGAAGGTGAGGGATAATCGAGAGGGTGTGGTATATGATGGCCAGAACTTGGAGAGACCAGGAATGGATAATAAGATACATGAGATAAGGGTGGACATGAATCCTGGGGTCATGGGGAGCTGCACTAGTACAGCCTGAGAAGAACCTACGCCAAGTCAGTCTGTCCAGTGTCTTCAGTGAGCACAGTGAATCAGATATAGTTGGGAAATATGGGGTCTGTCCTGGCTTGTATCTCTTCCAGGTGCCATTGCTGTTGCTGCTGTGCAAAGGAGGTGTTTAGTCAAACCATCTTTCTGTGTTTGAGATGGGGCCTCACTATGCTGCCCAGGCTGGCCCTGACTCCTGGGCTCAGCAATCCACCTGCTTTCATCACTAAGTAGCTGGGACTCTGTTGGGAGCCACTGCACTTGGCTCAAAGAGTACATTAATATAGCAGATTAGAGAAGCCTTACCAAAGATCCTGTCCCCTAAAGGTGACTTTCTGACATGGTCATTTATTATGGTTGCTTTTCCAAAACAGGGTCCTTGGGCCTCTTACTCTGAGAATCCTGTGTAGTGCTGGTCAGGAGTAGAGCTACCTAGACCATGAAGTTTGAGCAGCTGTTTTCTATGTCCTGAGCACATTTTATCCTCTATTGGATTTTGGACTCTTTTTCAGGAAGATCTCCTGAACCATACTCAGTGGGCTGGAGAACCATCTGTCTTTGGGCCAGTGGCTAAAGAGTCCTAAGCTGGATTTTCACACTGTTACAATTTGTCCTCCTGGGAGTCCAGGGTGAGGGTCTCAGCATTCTGTATAGCTGACAGAAGTTTACAATAGGGAGGGTCCAGCAAGGCTTGTATGGATATCAAAATCCATAGATGTTTCAGTCCCTTAAAAGTAGTCTATAGCTATTTCATAGAACCTTCACATATCCTCCCAGATACTTTAAATCTGATAAATACTCTAGATGACTTACAGTAGAAATCCTCTGCAAAGGGCTGCTCTACTGTGATGTTGAAGCAATAACGACAAAAAGGGATACACAGAATATTTTCCATAACATTTTTGATTCAAGGTTTGTTAATTCCCTAGATAAGCAATCTATGGAGGGAGATGTAAGACAATAGACGAATTCGCCCTTCTGAGATTATCCGGAAGATATGCAGGAGACAGCATTCTTATCCCTTAGGTCATAGGCAGGGAGGGGGTCGAAATAGACCAGTCAGTTCAGGCAGTGCTACTTGAAGAGGAGTGTGCTGTGGAAGGTCACTGCTGAGCCTGAACCCTGGTGCTTGAGCCCCTTCTCTTCCACAACATTCCTAGGGGATTGCATTGCTCTTTTTTCTCCTTCATATTCTTTATGATGACACAAATACTATCTTCTTGGTTTGTTGCTGTGGGATTTTTGGTATAGGAGACTGAACCCAAGGCCTCACACACGCTAAGGCTGTGTTCTACAACTGAGATGCACACCCATGTCAGACTCTGCCTTCAGTAGTCTTTCTTGGGAAATAAACCATGGCAGCCTCTCCCTGAACCTTTGGGGTTCCCTAATCCTCTGGGCATAGGCCTCAGAATGTCTTCCTATCCATCACCTTTTGGGATAATAGTCTGGGGAGCTTTACACTTAGTTTTGGAATTACCCTGTTCCATTTCCTTTGACTCTGCATTGCCCCTGCTAGCCAGGGTTATCTCCCTAACCTGTGCACTCTCAATTCATGATTTGTTGTTTCAGAAGAGCTGAGTGACTGAGAACATGATATTCTTACCTAAAAAAAGCCTTTTTTGTTTTTCTTCCCTGCTTCCTGGTCCTTTATCTAGCCTACCTGCTGCTCCTCTCTCTTTGTATCCTTTCCCCTCCCTATCCTGGCAAGCCTGCCTGTCTCTTCCCCTCCAAAGCTTTTAGCCCTTGGGTCACATTCCCTCCTCCCTTCATCACTGCCTCAAGCAAAGACTTGTGCCTCCAAACCCAGTAAGAAGCTTTTCAAATGCAGATACTAGAATGCGGATTTAGGAGGCTGTGAGTGAGTGCTGTGGTGGGATATGTCAGGAATAATATTTCTTTCTTTTTTTTTTTTTTTTTTTTTTTTTGTCTTTTTGAGACAGCGTCTCCCTGTAACCCCAGCTGTCCTGGAACTCACTATGTAGACCAGGCTGGCCTTGAACTCACAAAGATCCGCCTGCCTCTGCCTCCCAAGTGCTGGGACTAAAGGCATGTGCCACCATACTGTCACACCCATGTTTTTAGAAATAATTTTTCTTTTGGTACTTGCTTTGTGTCTTACATGGTTCATGAGGTCAGGTTAATGTAGTGGGACAGGAACCTTTCTCTCCCTAAGAACTTTGTTACCATTACAAGGTAATCTTATTCATGGAGTGATTTTGTTTTCACTTGTTAATAAGGGTCAACCAAGCATTCTATGTTCTATGTGTACAGCTCTCCTAGAGTCCTATCATTTGCACATCCTGCTCCACAGATGAGGAAACTGAGGCATCAAGGCTCACTAGCTTGTCTACCAGCATTCTAGTGGAAGATAGTGCCAGGGCTAGAGTCTGATCCTTCCTGCTCTGATTCCATGCCCTGTGCTTATACTCACCAGAACAACAGGTAACCCAA